AACAACGACTAGAGTTCAGTCTTGCCGAATGTATCTGTTGTAGGTTCACGATAAGCACTCACGCCCATAATGCCCACTGGTCACTCTATTTATACACCTACATAGAAAGTTCTAACATTTTCCAGATTTTTCTAGAAAAAATTGAAATGTCTAAATTTCACCTTTACAACCTGATACAACCTCTACCTTCCCCATGCTCCAATTTCCTTTCTTCACTACCAAGTGACCTATGGAATAAATTTGCCGATATCTTTCACAAGAGGTGGAAAAAGCTAGGTAACCTGGTTACCAGGTTACCGAGAAGGGTAGCTAACGGTAGGGAAGGCAAGGCAGGGAGAAATAATGAATAAATAACATAGAAATGCGAGGATCAAGCCCCCTTGATCCTCGCAATAACCCCTTGATAATATTGATACCCTTCGTGCCTTTTTTCAAGCGACCTTATTTGGCCTCAGGGTTAAGAGAATATATTGATCTCCATCCCCCATCGGAGCACCCTCCAATTTCATTTCACTCTCTTGATTCCACACCTCATGCACATGGCCCTATGCCAGACCTCCTGATACGTAGCAATTCGTATGTCCTGTCAACTAGTACGCACTGTCACTGAAAGAATATCTGCTGGTATCTAGCAACGAAGTGCCTTACTTGAATCCTTAAACCCTTTAGCAAGTCTAAGAGCTCATGGTTCAAGTTCTTGATCTACATTTTGGAAGAAAAAGTAGCTTTCATTTCTTGCAAAGACTGCAGCAAGCAAGTTGAAGTTACATGGTGTTTCAGAGGTCATTGACCGACTGAATAGACAAAAGGGGAGGCTTGAAATATGAATTCAATAAAATCAATATTCCAGTTCAGAATTTAAAATATTGATCAAAGTGCTCCTCTGCAGAAAAACCAGTGAAGACCCTTCCAAATGACATTTTTTCAAATTATTGAATGCCAAAGCTTCTGAATGACTATGCCTCTTTGTGCACTCCCCATTACTGTAGATCTGGCTAGGGGCCTACACAAAGGCATTTTCATTGAATCACAAGTGGTGGTTTAAAATTGATCTCTTGCCAAGTACCCCCAACCCCAGTTGCCTCTGCTCAGCCCCCCAAACACAGGGTCACTTCATACACCTGCTAGACTGGAAAGGTAAACCATGGTTACGGGGAAGCAGAACATTTTCCACCTCTGTCTAACTATTTGAAAAGTGGTACTACTTCCTTCATTCTTTGACTCCTTGTGCCTTTTCCTTCCAGATTCAAGATCTAGAAAAACCCTGAGCTCAGAAAGAAAATACACAGGCTAGTCAAAGTGATGAAAAAAGCTGCAAGATCAGGAAAAAATAAAAAAAGCCTCTCATATTTGTTCCTGATTACCCCACCCCCCCTCCAAACAGATTTATAGTTCAAGCAGGTATATTGGAAAGATTCTAATTTAAATATATGGAATCAAGCACTTCAACTCTGTGTACTAATAAAAGGCAAGAAGCATGGAAAAGATGTGACTCACTTATTTAGACGCATGTGAGCCCGAGCAAGGCCATGATAAACAAGGGGGAATCTAATATTGGCATGACTGGCTTTAATATCCTCTAAAACAGCTAAAGCCTTCCTGATGTAGTCGTGCACACCTGACTGTATTGATGATATGGCATATGCATACTTAAGAACCACCACATCCTCCTCTGCCATTTCTAAAGACTGGAAAAAATCAAAAGCAAATCCTTTAGCAGGTTTGCACAATCCATATATGTATTTTAAAAAATCCTTAGAACAAAAAAATTTAGCTCACTGCAGGATGAGGCTCTGGTTCAACCAACTCCAGGGCCTGCTTAAATTTTTCCATAGCAAGGAGAGCCATCTCCTCTAAAAGAGCATCAGTCCCCTCCACACAAAGTTCTTGAAATTCCTATAGAGATGCATACAAAACTGTGGTGAGTTCATAGAAAGTAATGAAGGAAAAAGAACAGGCACAAACCCACGATGCATAATTTACATTGGATGGAGGCAGAGATATGGTCAGTCATATCAGCTCTAGGCATAATTAAAAACACTGGATCGCACTTCACTGCTTCTGTTTCCCTCAAGAAAATACACTACCATCAAGGGAGCATTGCTAAACTGCTCTGCACCATTAAAATAACAGTGACATTCACTTCCCTTATCTTGTACTGATAAGATATCAAACATGGAGAGAGAAAAATGATATTTTCAGGAATTTACAATGGTGTCAATCCTCCATTCTCCATTACCATAAATTCAACCACCTTACATTCACTTATGCTATGCTGGCCCACCTGATGAGCATCTTTGAGGAGAACTAAACAAAAGCATATATGTAAATCTCTAACAGTACATTATCATGTACGTTTAATCAAAGAAGGAATTTAAATCTTATTTCTTGCCAACAGAGAGTGGGATAAAAGAAATCACTTTACAGAAGGGTATTAACAGTGATTTTGCATTCCTAGCATAAGATCCAGAAGCAAACATGCAGCTGAATGAGGTATGTATATTGGCATGGGGCTTCATCAAGATTCATCTACAATCAACTGCCAAAGACATACTACTTTTTCCATGTTTCCTATGCCTGCAAACACACTTGCATCTTCATCCATCAGACACCACAAAGACACTGCCATCCACAACACATATCTCAATCATACTGGCTGGCTATTTCATGTGCTTACTGGTCGCTTTCTGTAATTGTCATGATCACATCCAATGAACCAATTGAAATTTGTTCATTTTTGCTACCTGGCCAACAATGCCCATAACCTAAAGTCGAAGCGGCTGGGGTCAGACCTGAGGTTTGGTCCAGCAAGTTCATTCACAGTGGGACAAATAAAGGGAAACATCTCTTGGCATAAATGCTGAAAATATCGGGTGGCGCATAAAATACGCGCCTAGATTTTTGTGTTTGTTTCTTAACTTCCAAATTAGACAGAGGCTTACAAAGCACAGCAATGATACAATTGTCTTTACTCTTGGCCCCGTGGAAAATATAAATTTCTAGCTATGATGGTACATCCACACCGACTTTTCGACTAAGACACCTCGAAATTTTTCATATCACGCTCCATCTTACCAAAAAAATGTCCAATGGGTGTTTCTTTGGAGTCGCATACAAGAAATATCGGTTTCCATTAAGTGATGGGCTGGCGAATTTCCTCCACGGTGATCTAAATTCAGGTCTTTTGAATGCTAGCTCTCTGTTCGACCACGAAGCGATCTATCTTGGATCGCTCGACTCACCAGCTTGACTTTTAGCGTCGAGGACGCTACATTCACGTCATACCGCGCTTGTGCAGTATCCCCTCCTTCCAAACTGTGTAAAACGAGCATTTTCGAGGTGCCTTTGTTGAACAGCCGCCGAGTGTGTACCCGGGTACCTAGAAATGTATATTTTTCAGGGGGTCGAGAGTAAAGATAATGTATACTCGATATGATTCATATGCCTTGAGAAATTAGTATATTTCCAAAACTACCCAGTTAACCGCGACTCCCGTACCGAACTGGTAGCCGTTCATCAGTTTTTATTTTTATTTTTGGGGCAATAGCGGCTACCACTCGAAATATTTTCACAGTATGATCCTGGTACCGCACTCAACACCAAAGCACGGGTTCCTCATGCACGGGTAGGCTGGATGCGTCAGGATGCACAAAGAAATAATAGCACGAATGGAAATGGAAAGCTATTTACATCGCATTTCGCAATATCTGAAAGCAAATTCCCTGAAATCCACAGCCATTTTCATTAGATTGTACATGACAGATTCGCCGAGGTCATACCATGTCCTGTGGTTACTTTCTTTCCAATCAACATTATCTCTAGGATGCAAACTACGTAATAGGTCAAAATATGGCAGTGCCAGTTGGTTCCTCTATTTTCTTACGCTTTCAATATTGGATAACGTTGGGGTTTAAGTCTTACGTTACACTGTGACCATGATCACAATCAACTGAGGTGAACAAGGTTTATTCATTTCCATGTCATGACTTCCCTCCTTCTGAAGGCGGTCGCCAGTGTCAACAGCCCCATTTCCTACAAAGGTAGTGCAGATAATAATACTCTGATTAGAGTTGTCACTAAACATCGTTGGTTTCAATAGACATCGCATAGCATTTGTGGACTGAAAAGGGAGGTGGGAGGCGTGGAAGAAATTCGACGATCAAATAGAATCGGACTATCGCACTGCCACCAAAGAGTTCTGGCAAACCATCCGAAGGTTACGACAAGAGAGGCAGCATACTCTCCGGGTCTTCAAAGACCGAAACGGGGAGGTGCTGGTTGCCGAGATGGATATACTTGAAAGGTGGAAGAAACACTTAGAGGAGCTCTTAAACCCATCAACAATGGGTACCGATCTACCCGACCAGGAGTCTCTCAGTGCGGAGACTAGTCTCACCGTGAAGGAAGTTCTGCAGGCCACCATCAGCCTGAAGAAATGGAAGTTTCCTGGTGTGGATGAAATCCGGGCAGAGGCTCTGAAAGCAATGGGCACAGATGGATGCTCATGGCTGTATAGTGCGTGTCAGACCGCTTGGGAATCTGGGGCAGCACCTAGGAATTGGAAAACCGGTCTGGTGGTTCCTCTTTTTAAGGGGGACTTAAGGGAGTGCACGAACTACCGCGGGATCACTCTCCTCAGCATACCTGGTAAAGTCTATTCCAAGGTGCTGGAAAAGAGCTGGGGCAGTTGTGGATGGAGCCATACAGGAGGAGCAGTACGGCTTTCGTGAAGGGCGCAGCTCCACGGATCAGCTGTTCACTCAATGCTGGATCCTCGAGAGGCATTGGGAGTAAGCCATAAATGTTTAAATGTGCTTTGTAGATCTCGAAAAAGCGTACGACCGTGTGCCCCGAGGGAAGCTGTGGGTAGTGCTGCAGGAGTACATCAAGGGTCAGCGACTGCAGGCTATTCAGTCCCTATACAGTGCTTGCAGGAGCTGCGTTCGAGTAAGCGGGAGGGGTTCGGACTGTTTCCTGGTATGCGATGGAATCCGGCATGGTTGTGTCCTCTCTCCTTTCCTGTTTCTCGTATACATGGACAGGATCTGTAGGCGCAGCCCCGCCTGGAGGGGGTAAACATTGGTGACGTCACAATAAGGATTCTTCTCTTTGTCAACGATGCCGTCCTTTTGAACCGTACTCGACAGAGGCTCCAGAGGGTCTTTGATCAGTTCGACTGCGAATGCACTGCGGTCGGAATAAAACTGAGCGTCTCCAAGACACATGTCAGTGGGAACAGGTGGAGAAGTTCAAATGCCTCGGGGTTAGGTTCTCGAGTGACGGGCGACAAGGTAACGAGATCGGCAACCGCAAATCCAAGGCTTCTGCAGTTCTGTGGGAACTTTGGCAAACCGTGGTTGCCAGATCGGAAGTTTCTAGGGAAGCGAAACTCGACTAGTAAGAGTGTTTACCTCCCCCCCACACTCACCTATAATCATGAACTATGATGGTGATGAACGGGTGATGACCGAAAGAACCAGATCGCGGATACAAGCTGCCGAAATGAGGTTCTTGCGTCGGGTGGTTGGCGTGGCGCGCCTAAACGTCGAGCAGCTGCTTCTCACATCGCGAGGTCTTAGGTCAGGTCTGGACATGTCTGCCGCATGCTCTTTGGGAGACTTCCAAGAGGAGTTTTCCAGGCCAAGATGACCGGCAAAAGACCTGTCGGTAGACCTCGTACAGGATGGAACGATTACGTTGCTCGGCTTTGTCATGAGAGGCTCGGCATTCCACCAACAGAGCTTAAGTTCGTTGCCCAGGATCGAGATCATTGGAGGACGCCCCTGGGCATGCTCGAGCCACGACCCCATTAAGTTGGGATAAGTGGTATCGAAAATGTGTGTAGGTATAAGGGAAGTGTAAAAACCTGCGGTGAGCGCAGTTGACTATCGGACTGAGAGCCTGGAAAACCAAGGGGATAAGAAAACCAAGAAAGGTGGCGCCGTAAAGGCGGAAGCAACATCCGCGCCGCGAGAGACAAGGCAAGAAAAGGGTCTTGTTTTTTTTTTCTCTCTCCAAAACCTACGTCAGTGCTTCCGATTCCTCCTTATACGATACTGTGGCGCGGCACAAAACAGACTTCGGATCGTGCAAGATTCTGCACACAAGCTCGAAGTTCTCTTCAGAATAAATTTCCGTGCATCTCCCCATTACTATCAATTATATTTTGCCGTTGCATAAATGCCGCATCAAACGGCTAAGGTCAATGCGTAAATGTTTTCAAAACTTTCATTGTAACAGCGATTATTCTTACATCCAGATTCACAGTAGCAAACGCGATGCCGATATTATTAGATAGGACTGCGAACGGATGAAGGCGAGGCATAATTTATCGAGGGAAAGGGCACTCATTGTACACTTGCATCAAAATCTAATATCGGAGGAGCGAAATATTAGACTGCAGAAATTTGTCGAAATCTCCAACATCAGGGCGATATCTATAAAGATCGTTACTTAGCTAAAATGCATAAGCTTGGTCGTAAAAATTGCCTCACGACACGTTCTTGTGCCGAAAAGCTGCAAAAGTTAGGTCAGGATATCTACAGGCCTAGGAAGAGACTTCACTCCCCTCTATCATAGCTGACATGAAAAACATCCCTGTATAAAACGTGTTGTATCAGGGACTTCCGAGCGGCAGTACGATGATGGCATTCTCATTCTTCCACGTATACAAACACACTGGAAAATGGAAACAGTAAACCAGTAAGGCATCCGTTGCTGGACGTATTCTTTACCGAGAGCTCGAAATCCAGCGGGATGACACCGGGATAAGACCGAAAATTTTCCCACTTAAGTTATTCCGCAAATATCAGGATGGGTGACAAGGACGAGATAGAGTTCTGCCGTTCGTCATACTCCAAAACAGCAAGAACACTTGCTGAAGCTAGAGGCTCACCTTAGCTTTGACCTTGGCTTCGTCGACGGGCGTCGGCACGACTTGATAGAGTTCGGTCAAATGTCGAAACTTTTTCTCTTTGACCTTAGTAGCGTTTAGATGCTGCGGTAAATGGCCTTCTCCAGACGCACCAGCATCCGAATGGCTGGGCATCCTCTTGCTGCTTCCCTTCGACTTCGTCTCCCCGCTATGGGCACTGTTGCTCCGCTTCCCGTGTGCCTTCGTACTCGACGGTGCAGGGGCAGCGGCTCCTCTGACCTGGTTCAGGTTGTCCCAGGATGTCAAACGCTTCACTGGGGCCTGGGCCCCTTCCACTTCCGTACCACTCTCTTCGTCCGATCCACTACTTACCAGTTCAGGAAGCTGGAGGGATATAAAACACAAAACTCATGCTCAGATTTCTTTTCTCCAAAGCTCAGCTCGGCTAAACCAACACATTTATAAAGCTCGAAACCATAAAGTAGGCTTCAGATGGCCATTATCGTCTTTCCATTGTTACAGGTTGCCTCGCATGAGGCGTTCCTGTCTCTGAAAACAGGTTCCCCATTGTTTTCGATTGCATGCAGTCAATTTTTCACTGTTAGGGCTCATGCACACTGAATGCGAAGAGCTGCGTTGCGACCCTGTGTACAGGACGTACCTACCACTGTCCAGAGCTCCCCCCCCCCCCCCTGGAGCTGCAAAAAAGCAGAAGTGTTGCAGCACAAGCTCTCAAATTGTACACAGCCATGTTGAATTTCGCTCAGCTCTGCGACCTTTTACAACAAAAATTATTATTTTTCAATTAGAAAAAGTGGGAGATGCTACGCATGCGGTCGCAGTCAAGAAATAACTGTGGAACTCGCAGACGATCACAAAGCGGCAAAGCCGCAGCTCCTCGCAGTAAGTGCGCATCGGCCTTTACTTGTATTTCACGCAAGTTATGCAGTGTGTTCCAGAATTGTGGACACGATTTTGTTAGTCAATAGCATTTGAACGGCATGTGATAAAGAGGTGCAGATTGAAGCATAATTTAGTGTGAGGCCTCGAGTTCATACCGGCACACACAAATTAATATATCAACATGATTCTTTGTTTCTCATTTCAGGTAAATGAAACCCCGGTAACACAATGACCATTCAAAAGAAAGCACAATGCGTTTTATAGCAGGCAGAGTTTCAGTCAGCGACATGGGTCCATTGGAGGACATTTTAAACAAGACACTGGTTCCAAATGTGGCAGTACTTCAGAATCGCATAACTGACGCAATTGCAACAATTACACTATATATGCTGGCACGGACGTGGGCAGAAATTGAATATCAGCTGGATGTTGCTAGAATCACGAATGGTGCTCACGTAGAGGTGGTTTAGCAGTTAGAAGGAATCAATAACTAACAATTATGTAACGCAATGCTATAATTTTTCCCGTACAACAGTACAGGAAAATTTTTGTTTAAATGATCAATAGCTGTTTCAAAGTTATTGAGAAGCAAAATTGCCTCAATAAAATTATTTTGTACATGCAGACATAAACTTAAGGCCTCATACGAAAGTATGCTTCAAACTGCATCTCTTTATCACAAGCTGTTCAAACGTTATTGACTAACAAAAGCGTGTCCATAATTTTGGAACACCCTGTACTTCCTTCTTCAAAAGTTTCCATTACAATTTTTCAGACATGCACTTAGCTGAAAGGGGGTGGGCAAGGGGGGTCGAAGAGAGGAAGTAAAATCTTCCGCATGTGATGACGTAAGCGAGACGTTTCACGGACGCTTTGGCCTTGATTCCTCACTACCTCGCTGGTTAAGGCCAAAATAGGTTGCACGCACTCTTTCTCTCGTCTCTCAGTCGTAACACAATCTACTTGCGTTTGTCAAGAGCCACCCTGGCAGCATTTACATACATCGTTGATCTGTTCGTTGATTTTAATAATATTCTTAGGTTCCTTAATTTCACTCACTCTCTTAGCATTTGTTACGAAAGACAGGGCAAGGTTTGCATCGTTGCATCCTGTAAGAATACTTATAGGAATCGGCATGCATAAAATATTTCCTTTTGTGAATTTCCAAAATGTCGACAGAAAAAAAGAATGGCTTCAAGCGCTTAGAAGAAAATCTATTCCCCGATATGCTTTTTGCGTGCTCCCATCCCTTCTCCTTAGATTCTTATCATGATCAAAACGCGATAAGGCACTTGATAAAATATGCCGTTCCAACAGAGAATCTGACCTTAGATACAACGCCACCTCCCACATTCACGTTAGTCACCACCTCTGACGGTCCATTTCAACAAATGGAGGACCAGAAGGTCTCCTCTTCTCGAGAATGAAAACAATGATAATAAAAAAATAATCGCACCGGAAGACCGTGAATGCTCAGTTTAGAGGTAGAAATCCTTTGTCAGAAGCTGAAGAGAGCACAAGAGCTACTGAAGCTGAGAAAAATTACTTTCACTCGGGTGATGCAAAAAGGAACTGTCATCGAAGACCTCCAAAGAAATGAGTTACTATGATTCAAAAACCCGTCCGCAAAGGAGTATTCACAAATACTCAATTGTGAAATAAGTTATCAAATGCAAGCACCCGCACATCCATCCATTGGGTATTAGAATCTTCATACCAACCAGAACTCCTTTAAACCGGGACACCTGAAAAGGGAAAATGCAACGAGGATGAACTTATGAGTTAATAACGGAAGTGAAAAAATTGCGAATAAAAGTGACTGAAATAGGGATTCAAGACGACTCTGATCCATTGTGAGATGGCTGGACATCGAATTCACACAACCCATCCCAAAGAAATAGTTTTTTGTGCATAGGGCATTTCCTTCAGTTTCAGATTTCGCGATAAAACTATCTTGCACGATTTCCAGTGCCACATGCTTGCTTCGCCACCCTGTCTACCTACACAGCATGCCCTTCATTCCGAGCCGTTCCACCCCAAGAAACGCATTTCTGCGCAGATCAGCGAGGGGTCTCTCCGACTCCCCTTGGGGGTAGGTCTGACCTTCAGACAGAAAAACAGGAGCCCTTCATAAGAATGCGAGCAAGAGCAATGCTCTAATATAACGTTCTCCTGCCTATAAAGCCAGTGTCGGCAATTGTTCTAACTGGTGGAAATAAGAGGAAAAACTGGCCTTCTTTAATAATATTAAGAGTTCCATACGCCTACACATGATTTTGCCTTCCCGTACCAAGATAAAAAGTCATCGAGCGTAGCCGTAATGCAGCGTCCAAGTACGTACTCGCATTCGTATAAACGCACACATAGGCGCGAGACTAGCATGGTAAAATCATCATCACTCCTATTTCCTTCGGTTTGGCTCGAAGAATAAATACAAACGGCTATGGCCCCACCACTTCCCCCCTTCCTTCACTGCGTTAGGTCAACGAGTCGTACACGCAACAGGCCACTTCTGGTCCCAAAACACTTCCACTAAATAAGGTCTCAACCTTCCGAGCTTCCCATCCCTCTCGGAGTAGAATATCGGATTGAATTGACACGTCGGCATTGTGACACGTTCGCAGGCGAAGGGGTGTACCGACACTCCCCTCTCTGTCTTGCATCCAGACTGGCACGTTAAAAGGAAACGAAAAAAAAAAACAAGGACGCGTTATCAAAAGCTCTGCAGTCCCTGGTGTTGAGGGGGCAACGGCTGAACACACACTGGCAAGGGAAGGCGAAGATCGACAGCCAAGGGATCAGCTTTCATTCCCCTCTCTCTCTCTCTCTCTCTCTCGTCATTCATTACATCACCCTCTCAAAACACAATCCACCCGTTTAAAGAAGTTTTGAGTGAGAGATGAGAAAAAGAAAGACTAGTTCTAATGGATTTGGAAAGTCTGCATGACACGATGTTTCGCAGAAAGCATCATAACAATGCCTCATTTTCTGCAGAAAAATAATATTCCTACGACGTTCGTCACTAAGGCTTCTGAAACTATGACAATATGGCACTTGCTTATGAAAGAACTGCTTCGTCAGCGTTCGCACGAGGGGAAAGAGATCACAAATGCCATACTATGAGAGACACAACCTTATCGCACCAAGCTCTCCCCCCCCCCCCCCCCCCCACCGTTATCACTTGGCCCAAGGGAAGTTGACCTAACTTATATTAAGAAAAATTATAAACAAAACATCTGAAGGTCGAATCAGGGTAATCATACCCAATGGTATGATTGGCCAGAGTGAGGAAGATCTGGGAACAAGAGGGACGCGCCCAACGCAGGAGTGGTCATTTTTTCATGTCTGTCGGGAATAGAAGAATGCTGCAAGACGAGGTTTAAATGGCAGGAGAGAAGGAGTGCATAAATGCCTAACGCGGCACTAAACGAGTTTATCAAACAACCCTACTTACTGTATATTTGCATGTACAGCACCTCGTTCCGTTACAATGGACCCTCTATCGATGAATTCCAGATTAGAACAATCAAGTCTGATCGGTGACATCAAGGCAGGCCCAGTTCTAGTGTCTTCTTTCTATTGGCTGCGGCCAATTGCGTTACCATGGGAGCAGTCATGCCCTGTCTAGGCAACATCCCGTTGGCATAACCCAAGGAATAACAATTTTCCTGACAGAAATTTGCTTTAATGTAAATATTGGAATCTTTTCAAAGTTTTGGTAATCCATAGCTTCTTCATCACAATGATACAAAAGAGCGTATTAGTGAAATCTGATTCAGCCTTGTTTCATATTTCACACGAGTCCATAAACTCTTCACTAGCTCAATTAGGATCAAAGAAAACTCAGCCTCGACACATGGGCTAACTTTTCCCCCAAGCGGCTAACTTTGGAGATGAATATCTCGGGAGCCGCTAGCGCTAGAGCGTTGAAATTTGGGGTTTTTCATAACTCAAGGTGTTTATTATGCACGAATTTCCTCAAACAAATCCCTGTCAGACGCGCCACCCAAGTTCTTCGAATTTGACCGCTTGAGCTGGATTGCCTCCACAAGGAACAAATTGCTACTATCCAATATAGCGTCGGTCCACTATTACCGAGCTGCGAAAATGTGTCCATGAAAAGCTACTCAGGAGGCTTTTTATTTGGTTGGCGGGGATGGACAACGGTGTCAAAGATCGTCACAGGATGGGACAAAACAACCGATGACATCATCAAACTCCAAAACAGATGCAACAAGTCGCCGAGTAGTGTAAGAATGAGTCGCGCCTTGGAACAAGAGGTCATTGAATGAAGAACTCACGGATTTCTTCGATTCCTCAATTGCCTTCTGTCCTCCTTGGGACTGATCCACTGGACGTTCTGAAAGAGACAAAAAGCAAGAAAAATGATAAATTAACCAGATGACGAGATTCAATCGAATTTGGGAGGCGAAAGGTCATATAATGCGAAAACATCTCATTTCCCCTCCCATTAGTCTGAATAAGAGGCGCCCATACCCCACTGGCACGAACGAATTAAACCTCAAGGAGAATTATGCTTAATCTTAAGTCTAGCATCTTTGTCCAGTCTGACGTTTCCTACTTGCCATTACAAGGTCTGGGTTTTCTCTTGATTTTTCCCCCATGGACTGCAACACACAGGGTGATTATAAAATCACTTGGGGATGTATGACATGCAGAGCAACTCGGTGGAACTTGAGAGTGGTATTACAATGTAAAGAGAACAAACTAAACAAAAAAGTACCTAATGAGGACCGCTGCTGATGTGTAAGTCGTATGCACAACTGGTGCAGTTAGGAGGGGTAAAGAAATATGTCACAGGTTTGATTAGCTTTATATTTAGTTTAAAAAACGCATTAAAATCACAGAAATGTAAAGCAATGTCAATATGATCCTAAGAGGGGGAACCATGTCTTTTGCATTTTTTTTTAATATTTGAATTGGCACCTTCCTAATGAAATAAAGGAATGGCCATGTGTCCATTACTTTATGTTTATGGTATGCTTCCTAATGTTTAAGGTAGAATACCTTTATTCCTCTTCTTTTAGCTTTAATTCCAGTGTTCAGCCAATTCTATGGGACAAAGAGCAAAGAAATTAACATGTGCAGGTTGGTGAGTCACTTTCCTTCAAGATCAAATTTCAAAATCCTTTATTTCAGCTCTTATTTGGCATAGTCACCTGTGATTTTGTCAGGACAGCACTCTGTACATGATCCAATGTATACCAAATTTAACTGAATTTTCAGATGGCTGAACACTGGCCATCAGCTCACTCAAGGTGGAATGAGTCAATTGTTGAATTAAGTACAAGGACATTGTATGGTGCAGATAAGGGTACTAATAAAAATCTTATATTTTTTCCAACACCTTATAGCACTTAAATGCTGATAGCTAAATGCTCTAACTAATTTTATCTTCATAGGTTGCATGTACAAAGCTAGCTCTGTTTCACTCAAAGAAAACAAAGTTGTTTTTTTTTTTTTAAGCTCACCTCATATGCCTACATACTTCCTACCTTTGCCCTGTTGGGTAACTAACATTCAAGTGCTGTAGCAGCAAGATGACTTCAGCACAAAGGTACTTGCATAGTTTCATTTGGATAGGCTCAGGCTGGTCTGCACCACTTCTTCATGAGTCTAGGCCTAATGTGAATGAACCTTTATTGAGGAAGGATTCAGAACGACATGCCATACCTTCCTTAGATTCTAATTCAGATTTCAAGGACTTCAAAAGCACACTATCAGGGCAATGTTCAAGCCCTTCCTGAAGGAAGGCAAATGCTTGATTCTTCTGGTTGTTTGAAGTAAGAGCAGCACAAGCAGCCATCCAATAGCAGACTGGGGTGGGATCCTGGAAAATCCACAAATTGGTTATCATCAGGTCAGATTACCATACCTACCCATTAATCTCATTATGCTCACCTGATTAACACCAGATTCTTTTTTGACGTCATCTGCAAGTTTACGAGGGTACTGCAAGACTGAAACAGAAAGTGCACCCAATGGTTACATTTAGAAAACTTGAAATCCTTAACTAAAACCCTTGACTAAAAGTCATATTCCTAAGTCAAAGGAGGCAGTCCTATGGATGCAGGCTTCTGGACTATCACAAGACTCAACAAAGTAAAAACACAAACTCACATGGCATTAGAATAATTTGAGGAACATTTCCCAAAGTTATCCGAAAGGAGTTTTGCAGCGTTTTGGTATCGTGGCAGAAGAGCATGCCCTTTAAATAATGCTCACAGCATTTCTTATATTCACACATCTTAACAGCCGCTTGAGCAGCAAGATGATATGCCTGTAGGATGTATACAAACCACCACATTCAACATACACTCAAACCTTCAGCGGTTTACAGTAGGGCTGTACCGATGGCGTTTGGCGAATGCCGGTTATGATCTCGCACATATTGGCTGACGCCGGTAGTGGCAAATACGAGGATTGTTCGAAAATTAACTTTGCAAGGGTTCAAACACCAAGATTGTCACTAGCATATTGGTGAGGGCTTTCGAGTTCTATAAACGGTCAAGAGGTCAAAAAACATAAAAGGTCACTGATATTGTGAGGTCAACATGAGGCTGCTACTTATTGCGTGGGCGAGGGCCATCAAAATGTCAACCCAAACTGAAATGTTCACATTGAGATAAAGAGCGTAATCCGTTTTTTGTGGGCAAAAATTTGTCGGCAGCAGAAATTACGGGGAAATCATTGCAGTTTATAGACAATATGTCATGTCTTGTCAACAAGTCGCAGAACGGTGTCAATAGTTTGCTAGCAGTCGCATGAATGAGAATGATGATCACAGGGGCAGGCCACGAACTGTTGTGAATGACATCAACGTTCAGGCTGTTGACGGCCTCACTCAGGAGAAAAGACGGCTGACAGTGCGCGACATTGCCACCAATCACAGCATATTTGTCAGCACTGTGCACCACATTATCCACAATGTCCTGCAGTATCGGATGGTCTCAGCGCTCTAGGTGCTAAACAATTGACTAAGGCCCATAAGGGCAGCCGCATGACAAGCTATCTCGAAAACTTGCAGCGCTTCGCTTCTGAGGGTCCGCAATCTTGCAGCCCATTGTCACTGGCAACAAAACCTGGGTCCACCACTACACTCTGGAGACGAATAAGCTTCCATATCAAGGAAGCATTTCTCGTCGCCGGTGGTCAAAACGTTAAAACCGACTCCTACAGCTGGGAAAGCGTTTGTAAATATTTCCTGGGATTCGGAAGACGTTTTGCTTGTTGAATTCTTGGACCAAGGTTAAACTGTCAATGCCGACGCCTAGAGTGTAACGCTGACGAAGCTCCAAGAAGCCCTCCGCAGAAAACGTCCCGAACTCTTTACAAGAGGAGTTTTCCACGACAATCCCCATACGGCGAGACAGACAAGGGAGCTCTTGGTGCGTTTTGGGTGGGAAATTTTGGACCACCCTCCATACAGTCCTGACTTGGCGCCTCCCGGTGGTAGTCTGGGAAATAAACATTCCCGTAGCGACTAAGAAGCAAAAAAGTCTGGGCGACAACGGGTCAAAAGTCTGGGCCTGGACATTTTCCAGGTAGAAATAGACAAGTCGGTCACAAGATGGGAGAAATACCTCACAAGGCTGGCGACTACGCTGAAAAATAGTGTGCCCCTTGGGCTTCACATTTTTGTACATATATGGTTTCATTAGTTAAATATATTAATTTTTTTTATTTGCAACACCAGCGAAGTTACTTTTTGAGCAATCCTCGTAGATGGGAGGGGAAACCACCACATCATCCCAAAATGCCCGACGTTCGTCACAGTAACAAATTTTTCGCGACGGATTGAGATTTAAGACGTTGAACCGCCGTATCGTTTTCTGACCTTAGTGGCGGGGAGGCGGGGATGCGGGAAGAATGCGTGTTTTATCGGAAAATAATGTATGGAAGTGAGACAATGTCCAGTGCCATTATTTGACGCCGTGGCTGTGGCTGAGAATGGCTGATCGGTGCGCTGATTAAGTATGGATCATTTGCCAAAGAAAAGTAATAAGATCCCCATAAACACCAATTCCTAAGCCCAAAGCCAACTTATTCCTGGAAAAAAGAAGAGTAGTTCTTCAGGATGGCCGATGTCAGCATTCAATTCGACGCAGGTGTCTGCAGTTGAGAGAAATTTCTGCTTCGGATTATACGCACAATATTTAGATTTAGTTATCTGCGGAAAAGGCCAGAATCGGTAAAAGCTTTTTTTTTATTGCTATTTTTTACTATTTTGAATGTTCTACAACAATGAGAGAAATTTAATAAAACCATGTACAAGTTGGATTTTTTTGCATGGGAGAGGCGGAAGGAACTCGTCGCTTTTCTCGGAAAAGACACGAGGGAGTTCTGCGCCGGAATGTCTTGAGGCGCGTACGCCTTAATTTCATTTTTCTTCGCAACGGAGGGAAGGGGTGACTTCGCCATCGGCATTGGGACTGTGAAATCAAGCTGATGATGCCGGTGATTACCGATACATCGGTACAGCCCTAGTTTACAGACAATAGGCCAAACTGTAATTCCTTAATCATGCACTGAGAGACGAGAAGAAACAAAGACCAAAACCAGAGAGTGGCTCACCTTGGGAAAATCTATTTTCAGCTTGTAAGCACAGCAAGCATTATTTTCTGCTTCGGAATAGTTTTCCATATCCAAGTAGGCTTGTGAGCGTTTGGCGTACATCTTCTCATCAGATGGCATTATTTGAATTGCTAGAAGGCAATGATGATCCTTTGAGTTACAAAGCATAACTGCACTTAGGATCTCAGGTGAACTACAAGCCACAAACTGATATCAGTAGGGACATAACGGGTACGTTTGTCTTCTGCCATGACCATATCTATTGATTGCAGACCATTTCACCAGCAAGATGATTGACATTGATAACTAGACGAGTAAACAAGGGATAGCATAACAGACCTAGTACCAGGTTTGGACTTCCCTAACATCCCATCAGTATAATGGTACAAAGATCCTGAACTGAAGTAACAGAAAGTATATATTTCGAAATATTATTTTCTAAATATATCCAGAAAAACAGACAAAACAATTTTATATAATATATTAATAGCTGAAGGCACAGGAAGAATTCATGGGTGTTCCAGATTGGTCTCAGTTTCTCACAAGCAGAGAGTGACTATTCACAAGGAAATTACTCATGCATTCAGCGTCATCCATTTTATACATTGCACCCATTTCGTTAATGTCCAGCATGTCTCTCCATGCTAGTATTCCAAGAGGTGCAAGTGTAGTCTTAGGGATACAGCAGGCATGTGGGAGTGCAGGCCTAGGGTTAAGAGTCAGGGGGGTGCTGAGTGAATGAAATTCTCAACTCCTGACTTTTATTGTTTTGTTTCACCTTTTTTTGCCCAAGAGTGGCAAGGCAAGACATTGCATTAATGACAGGCTGAGCCAAGATGAAGGAGATACAACCTCATTCTCATTCCCTGAGTATAAAGAAATATTACAAAGCATTGCATGAAGAATCTCAGTAAGTTAGTAAAGCACCATCATATTAAATCTATCATCTTCAAGGACTGAGTCTTTTACCACACATCCAAAGAGGATATTTCACAATAATTGCATTTTTAGTCTTCCTTTCACTTACTAACTTCTTTGCCCCCACTTGCTTTCCCCTTAACTGACTTAACGACTCCACAATAATTAATTATTGAACCTGGGTAGAATTCTTTCATTTTCAGACGACTTAATGAGTGTTTCCTTCAAATGTTCATAATTTCCACTCAGTTCTTGCAACTTTCTAAAATGCCCCCTAAGTTTTAGGCTATCACTAATGGTCCATTTAAAAAAAAATAACTAAACTTCATTACTCTTAGAACCTAAATGGCCAAAGACTAAATCCATTTACTATTTCAAATTATATCATTACTAGGAGAGGTACCCAGCATTGCATGGGTGAGTATTGTATACATCCCATATTTGAGGGTTTAGTATTGTTTTAGTGCCTCTTTGGCAAACCCAACTAAGAATTGTTTAAAACATCTAGCTTTTACTGAACAACCAATTGCAAAATTTCAGTAGCAATTTGCATGTTACAACTTAAATTTTTTTAATGAGCCCCCAAAACTTTTACTCCTTAGGGGGTCTGTAGTAGTGGATTGGCCAAATTTACACTAAATAAGGTACAGTGGGGGTCCAAATTTTGAAATGCCACCTAGCCTATGACCATCCCCAGACCAAATGAGGAAGCCAAGCAAAGTTTGGTCAGACTGGGATCAGAGGTGTGGCCATGCATAAAGGGCAGACACACACACAAACACTCTGAAACATAAGTACAGGTAGTATAGATAGATTAAGCAAGTTTGCTTGCTCATCGGGCAAAGAAATTCACAATGGTGAGACCTTTGGGGCAACACAATATTAATTAATAAAATAATCTGAAATGGACACCTGTGCATTATGAAATAGTGATATTCCCCTTCAGTTAAATCATTTTTTATTGTGATGTCAAATTAAGTTGGGTAACAGAAATTACCTTCCTCCAAAATAACCCCAGGAATATTTCCTTAATCTCATGTCATAATTGCAGGAATTGCTATGTTCAGGCAAAAAAAAGTTTTAATAAAACTACCCACCCATTTCCCTCCCCCCCAAAAAATGGGCTCCCCATGGTGCCACACCCTCTTTTGAAAGACCTTCCTTGAAATCAATATTCCTATTTCATAAAAAAAATATATACTTACCAAATTTCAGCAATCTCTATTTCCCTAGAACTGAAAAATTTAACCAAAAAGGTCATCCTAAGAGGATGTGCCACTAAAGCTTGATTTTCTCTGAAGTGAGTACTCCATGATTTACTTCCCTGTCAAGTCCAAGCTTTCTTCATCTGCCTGTTTTGCGGTAGAGATAAAGGCCTGAATGCTGAAACCTCCTCAAGTTAATGGCTCTTTAAGAACATGGATTCCCAAGGGGGAAAGAAAACTCTTCAGCTTAAAGACCCCTACCTCCCCTAAATAAGGTTTGGGCATTCAGGCATAAATTTCTGGATAAGTTTCCCCAAAAGATTGTGCCATGAGGGAATATACCTCAAAAATAAAATGAGTACTGAATTCATCCCCTGAAGAACTACATGATTAATAAAGTTCAGCTTTCCATGGTTGTTCAATTTGCTGGGACAAAAATGTCTAAGAAAATAAGTATCCTGAAAAAAAAATAGCAAGTACCCTAAGGAGGTGGATCCCAATAATAAAAATTTTCCTGAAATCAACACCAAAATAAGTAAAAACTTACTAAATTCAAGCTTTCTATATTTGCCTGTATTGCTGGAGTAAAAATGTAGCTCAAAAAGATAGTTGCTCTATTGTTCAAATTTTTTTAAGGGTATCTTTCTACATGCTAGAGCAATCAAGTGCAATCACTATAAAAAATACAGTGATTGTCCAATGGATGATATAAGCATTGCAAAACAGACTTGGAAAGAAAGTGTCAGGCAGCAAGAGGGAATTTCTGACTGCTCAAGAATAGACCATCTCAGTTCATAAACACAAAGAATTTCAATTTTCAATCGGAAAAATTGATCTCATTCATGCAAGCTCCATCCAGTGCTTCCACTCACCTAAATCATAATGTTTCACTGCTTCTTCATATTTTCCTTTCTCGTATGCCTCTTTCCCATTTTTTTTAGAGCTATAATAAACCTGCATCTTCAATTTCATGTCCTTTTCATCCATTGCAGCACTTCTATGAAAACCTATAAGGCAGAAAGGGAATTCACTGATAGTATCAAATAACAGCATGATGTAGACAAGGACAAAACAAAGTAAAGATTTGATTATGGCCTTGACTTCTAACCTCATGGTGTGTCTGCCTATGACTATAGCTGGCGGTGGTTCAATATGGAAAAAAACTAATGATTGATATGCCAATGTCCCTGATAACTCATTCTTAAATTTAAAAAAGAACTCGGCTAAGGTAAACAATCACTGGCTACACTTCCTTCCGTTTTTAAACTTTGCTATGGTTTAGAACAGTGGTGCCCAACCTTTTTGGCTAGGTGGCCACATAACTACTTTCCACAGCCATTGCGAGCCATATTAAGTCATTAGTATTGTAGAAGAAAATTTTAGGGAAGCCCAAGTGTATTGTGGGTTAGGGCCTCGCAGGTCACTTGTAAGCACTTTGAGGGCCACCTTTTGCCCATGGGCCATGGATTGAGCACCACTGGTTTAGAATGAAAGGATACTCATTGCTCATGGAGACATGGTTAACTTCATCTCACTTTTAAGGGCATCATATGAAATATTTAAAGTGGACTCTCCGGCAGTAGGCACGCTTTCTGGGTTACATCTTATTCTCCCCCTTACTGGAGTTCGCCTGTGATCATTTACCTTAGCCGATAACTCAACATAGTTCTAAACGAAAAAAAAAGGAAAAAAGGAATGCATGATGATCATATCGCTAAGTTACCATATTGCCCTGGTAGTCTATGAATACAGCACCTCTTGCCCTTACTTGCATAGACTGAGGGCAACAGATAAACAGTGTCTACTTTCATATAAAGTTAACATTAGCTTATTCTAATACTAGGGATCAGTGGGGGCTCCTGGACGAAAAATCTGGAGGCCAACTCATGATCTTTATAATGGACAAAATTTCATTGTAGTATTAATGGAAGAATGAAAGGTGTGCTTAAGTCAGTTTCTGAGTGAGAAACTGTTTCATGTTTACAGTTTACATTGTATCGAAATCACGAAAAAGTACAGTGGAAATTGAAACCTTCGATCGAAAACTTGCGTGAAAGTTTAGGTGCATCCGGCCCGAGGAGAAAAGTGACCTGACCAATTTCACAACTTCCAAACAAAATCACAACTAGCAAACCTAGCAAATAAAAGAATATTATGTATTATGCATCTTGTGTCTTTTTCATCCATGGCAACTGCGAAGATATAAATTGAACAATGCGAATTTGGATATCCGCCTAAATAATCCTAAATAATCGATAGCTCTAGCTACCAGGCACCCAATCATGCGCAATGCAGACAAAGAGGCCGGCCTCTCTTTTCTCGTATACTATTACTAGTGCTACGGGATACCCCTTTGAATTGTCCATGAGCCAGGAGGCCACTAGGCTCTGGCCTCCCATACGTGATTATGGGCAGGCGTAAACTGTCAGAGATCGGACTTCGCTATCTCGTATACTATTACTAGTGCTACGGGATACCCCTTTGAATTGTCCATGAGCCAGGAGGCCACTAGGCTCTGGCCTCCCATACGTGATTATGGGCAGGCGTAAACTGTCAGAGATCGGACTTCGCTCGTTTTGTGTCAACTGAGAATTAATCCAATTATTATCAGAGGTTTCTTATAGTTATTTGCCATCCTAATGGATATTTTCAGTAAGTGAGGAAGGGTCTCCTGAGAATTTTTGAGGAGGTCGGGCCTCCCTTGCCTCCCCTAACGCGCCACCACTGCTGGGGATGTTAACGATACTTTTATCGGCTCGATCGAATTAAAGTCGATGATTACATTTATCGGTTCCATCGGAAACTGATGCAACTAGTTTACCATTAAGCCTATATGCAACATGCGCTTTTAAACGTTAGTTTTTAGTCTGGAAGTCAAATTTAACACGGAAACTCGGTCTTTACGTGCTTGGACCCATAGGAATGGAAGGTAAGCACAGGGGTGTTCTGAAAGAAATCGCCAAGAAGCTTAAGCAAAAAGCCTTCCGTTTCAACGTATTTTGCATTTGTGCAGTTGGCCTAATGGTGAGCGGAAGGAAGTGGGGAGACCTAATGAAACGGAAAATCGCCACGAGATACTCCGCGAGGGACATGTCAGACTTCCGCTCGCTGAGAACGGAAAAGTCCGGGGCGAA